TGAGTGTGTGAGCTTAAAAGTTGCTTATTTTGGTCCCATTTTGAAAGAGCTTGAAGTTGGTGGTGCCTAGCTTGGAGGGAAAGTTTTAGATCCAGGATCTCCTTGTGTTTTGCTACTCATTTGAGGTAAAAAGTCGAAATCTTGTTCATCTATTGCTTAGATCTCTTCCTTGGAAGTTTCTTGTCATATTTGACTCATTTTTGGATTGTTCATGGGGTTGAGCATTTCATGGGGCTATCACTTTAGATCTGGACGTTTGATGGTCTCTTTTGGCTTAAAGTTGCAAACTTTATTGGGTTCAAGGCCTCATCCATGCATTAAGTTCTCGATTAAGCCTTGTGTGAGTTCTAGATCTTCGTTTGGTATGCATGAACGTAAAGTTGGCAACTTTACGTGGTATTCCAGCCATAGAGGACCAGATATGTATCTTGAAGCATAAGATTCGATGAAAAGGGGCTGAATGTGTTAAGACTGGGACAACTCGGCGAGTTGTTCTGCCAACTCAGCGAGTTGGCTAGGTTTTTTCCCGATCTTCTGAGTTCTGTGGGAACTCGATGAGTCTGTGAGTACACTCGGTGAGTTGGGTCAACTTGGACCGTTGACTTTGACTTTTGACTTATATCTTTGACCAAGTTTGTCCCAAGGGGTGTTTGTGGTAACCTGATTTTGATTTAAGGAAAATATGGGCTTAGGATAAGACTCATATGGGGTTGGGCCCAATTCGGAAAATTGGGCCATTAGTGGGCCTTTGGATCTTTTCGTTTTGGGCCTCAGTTTGGTGTATGTTGGGTCAGGGGTAAAATGGTCATTTTATCCCAAGTATGGATTATGGATTATAGCGTGGGACCCAATTGCTAATTGGGTGTGTTATTGGTTTTGATAGCTCGGAAGCCTACAGGGCAGCAACTAAGGACTTTCTTTCGGGGAGCTTCTACATTGGAGGTGAGTCTTCCTCACTGTACTTGTGGGTCGAAGGAACCAATGCTGACCCATTGGATTGATATCCCGTTATGCAAGTTGCTATGTTGTTATGATCTGTTAGATCTGTATCCTGATAGATAGGATGTTGCTATGCTGTTATGATATGTTAGACAGGTATCCTGGTAGATAGGATGATGTTATGCTTAGTGATTTGTTAGATCTGTTTGACTAGTTGTAGACTGTTATATGATTATCTGTTATATGTGCACATGTGTGATTGGTGGCTGAGGTTTCTGCTTTGTGCGTAAGCCAATAGGCATGGGGTATTCCAACCCGATGGTTGATTGGACCCATAGTATGTTCGAATTCCAACCCGATGGTTGAGGGGCCTGGGGTATTCCAACCCAATGGTTGATTGGATCCATAGTATGTTGGCATTCCAACCCGGTGGTTGAGGGGCCTGGGGTATTCCAACCCGATGGTTGATTGGACCCATAGTATGTTGGCATTCCAACTCGATGGTTCAGGGGCCTGGGGTATTCCATCCCGAGGATGATTGGACCCATAGTATGTTGTTATGTGTATATGTTATCTGTTTGGGTGTTGGTATTTTGGGGAAACTCACTAAGCTTCGTGCTTACAGTTTTGGTTTATGGTTTCAGGTACTTCAGTGGATCGTAGCAAGGTGAAGGCGTGACCGTACAAATCCTCGCGTTTTGGACTTATGATTTCTGGGAAACTCTGATAATGTGAATGTTTTGAAATCTATGTTGAAAGAGATTCTGATTTTTAAGTAATGTTTTGAGAACAACAGTTTTTGTAAACACTTCTATAGAAAAAGGGTTGTCTTGAAAAGTTCAAATTTTATGAAATTTTATGGACGTTACAATAGAAGAAGGAAAGACCCCAAAATTTGTTATTAGCAGAGATGTGACATTTAAATTTGTTATACATAAGCAGAAGGATGTGGTATATGTGTTGTGGGGAATGATCAGGGTGCTAGCCAGAAGGTAGAGTTTGAAACAGAAACCCCCACGCAGTTTTGTAATAAATGAGTAACAAAAGGGTGGCATGGAACAACATAGCCATGATGAATCCCTTGAAAAAAAACATGGGAAGAAGTGCCTGGTGATGCTGATGTTGGGAAAGACAACTTGATGAAGCTTCTGGAGAATGAGTTTGTGATTTATAATTTAGGATCTGAAAAGAAGATAGCATGGACGGAGATTTGGATAGATAGAATATCATGATGGTTATACATCTCTCACTTCATTAAGAAAATCTTGCGGTCATTCTATTGTGATTAGTCCAAACTTCTTGGTACTTATGTGGCGGTTCGAGGCAATCGGGGAAAAGATCATTAGGAAGTGGTCAAGTGGATCTTGCGACACTTGAAGGGAACGCTTGATGTTTGTCTTGTGTATGGTCCTAATACACGACATACAAAATTGGTTGAATATATAGACTCGGACCATGAAAGTAATCTTGAGATAAAAAGATCATTGGTGGTTGGTCTCATTCAGAGTCTTCTTTTGAACATGGAGAAACCAATCATGTTCTATGATAGGTTATGCATTCAAAAGTCTGGTGCCAAGGAGAATCCAGAATACATGGTGACAAGGACGTTGCCCAGAGAGAAGTTCAAGCTTTTGTTGGATTTTTATTCAAAATTTTGGTTTCCAAAACATAATATTTAGCAACGGAAGACTTAGAAAGTTCGAATAACATAAAACAAGTTTATACCCACCAAGGATCTTCTTGCAAAGTTTGGAAAGAAAACAAGCACCAAAGAAGAAGATGAAGAAGTAACAACCTTTGTAGTTCTTTGGGTCCTCTTGAGAGGGTTGGAAGTTGATGGAGAATGTAGAACTTTTGATACACCAACAATGACTCAACTTGATGTAGAATGCTAGTTCTTTGTACGATAACTCTTAAGACTCCTAAGCTTGAACTTCATAATGAATATGAACTTCAAGAGAGCATAAGCAAGAGAGTAAATCTTCAAAATATGAACCAAAAGTGAGAGAGAACACTACATGCATGCATGTTACAGTTTATGCATCTATCACCCAAGAAAGATGAAAGCCTCACTTAATAAAGCTATTCCTTGGACCATAAGTCCTTAACACTTTAAGAACCCATACCCCTAAAGCCTAAGTGTTCCCCATGCTTTAATCCATACCATATTTTTTGAATAAAATAGTCAAATGACCATCCTCCTTGTCTCTTAAAGGACTTTCAGCCATATGCCTAAAAAGAAGACAAAAGTTTCAATTTTCATAAACCAAGTTTATAAAATATAAACTTTAACTTTTTGGTAAAAGACAAAAGAATTTATCTAGTCCAAAATGTTGTGCATGATTTAATAAAGCATACCATATGATATATTATGTTAGTTGCCATTGAAAATTAATATTTCCATAAAATAAATAATTTCCAATTAATTATAAGAGTTTATGAATATTTATTAAATTAAATTTCTAATAAATAATCAATTGTATCGATTTGTTGTTAGTGTGACCTATTAGTATCATATGTTAATTAGCAATATCACTTTAATATGATTCTTGAGCATACTAGATCTTTCAATCTCCCACTTGCACAAGATTCATATCAGACTGATACAGACATTGGTAAACGTCTAGCAACATTTCACTGCCCCCATCAACATACGATTTGGTACCATTCTATAGACGGCCAATTCCCAAAAAGATCAAAGATACAATTGGTGTATAAGGTAAATTTATCAGTTATCCCTTTGTCACAGTCATCGTGTTGAACATGAGATACAGATCGCGATCAATCTCATTAGGTGTTAAATTTTTGGTAAGGTGACTTAGATGTCTAACTCTCAACACATAATAGGAACAAATCCCATCTTGACTACATAATCCTCTTGCATAGTTCTCACTATACCTGAAAATGGCTTTGATAACTGCCCAGTTAAGGATCAACATTTGACAATATCAAATCACAACACTCCCTATACTTACGTCCCACTATGTATCTCAGGTGTTAAGGATACAAAGATAATACCTTTTAATCAAGTATCACTTATGATAGCGATCCATGAGGTGATCTTGATGCGAGTCGGTTCAATACTAGTTGACAAGTACCTATGAAACTTGGTTACAACCACTTGCATACTTTCCTCTGGTGAGAGTTAACCAATCCAATTCATATTAGTATTACTTCATAATTACTCCCAAAACTATAACCAACTATGAACTTTTAGAATAATAAGATTATTCATGGATTAAACATGTTAATATAGAACACAACAAGAATTGATGTTATGATCATATCCATGTATATTAAAACGTTATATAATAGTTGTTGTTACAATGTTCTATTATCCAAATACCAAATCCAAATCAAAATCCCATTTCTAGAATAATAAAGTATTACAGCTGAAGTGTGACCATTCATACTTAGCTTAGAAGAAAGGCTTTATTAATGGGTTCGACTAAACTTAATTTGTGTGAATTCTACGAATACTATCATCTCCATATTTGACTTTACTCAAGGTATAGTTAAATATCTTGGAGTATATGATTGTTGTTCTTTCATGAAATAGAGTCTCTTAACTTGATTAAGTATACTCTCAAAGTAACAAAGATTTCTATATGATCCTTGAATGGCATAAATCAACATAGGTTTTCAACGAACTTATTCATCCAATCATATTAGATTTCAACTTCTAAAGTAGTGTATTCTTATTTTCTAGTATATCATGTCATTATGTTTTCCTTGGACCTCATTCCAAGCAAACTTACTCTTCATCCCACAATGAAGTCATGATCTAATTATAATTCATAATTATATATATACTTGTTTAGAAATCAGAATCTTATGTAGCTCTTTACATGAAGATTTTATTCAAAATTAATTTTTTGGTCAAAAATTGATATGGAAATGCTACTGTAGCACAAGTAACTTTTGTGTTTGGTCCGATTTGACAAACTATGTTTTTTTTTGCACAATTGACTATTAATATTTTAGTGTAGATGTCAATTACACCTTTGTGACCGATTTTAGAAGGTTTCCCAGTTTCGCATCCTACCTGGCATCCGACGTGTATGGTAAGCTAATGGGAAACTGCCACGTTATTTCCACGTTGACTCCACGTCAACTCCCTTCTTATACAAAAAACTTAACACCCGTATATGGAACACACCTACCTTCAATCTTTCTATTTTCGTGCATGCTTCTCTCGAGCAAAGATCCAAAGCAATTTCTCGATCCTCAATCTCTTCTTCCAGAAACCCTCCCATCCAAATCGATAAATTTAGGGAGTCAGATGAGTTGAAGACTTATGGGTGTGAGAAGTCGGTGAAGGAACAAACGAGCTGGAAATATCACAACCCGGGAAGGCGGTTCTGGAACTGTGGCAACAGTTTGGTAAGCTGTCATGGTCGCGATTTCTTGTAATCTTCAATAATCATATGATTTGTAGCATTTATGATGTTTAGATAAGCGTAAGAAAACCCTAATAGTGTAATGTCATTGATTTTTGTGAAGATATTGAAAGGAATAATTTGTTTGTGGGATCCCTTTTTTGTATCATTTATTTATTGTATATGTCTCTAAGATCTCATACGATTTGACAATGGTGTATATTTCAGACAACATTAAAAAGCTGTGATTACTTCTTCTGGAAAGACGATGAGCTGCCTGAGGGGTACTATAAGAACCATATCAGAACATTGAAGCAACAAGTAGATTCAAAGGAGAACTATGTTGGACTGATCAGCCTTAGGAAGAAGGTTGTGGAGTTGGAGTTTCTGCTTTCAAAGGAAAAGTTAGTTGTTGACAAGCTTGAGAAGAAGGTAACAAAGGAAAGGAAGTTGTGATGATGCTTAACAACAAATTGGAAGCTTCCATGCAGCAAAATTCCATGTTGAAAGTTCTAGTTGTGATGATTCTATTGGTTGATGCACTTTGGTGCTTTAACTAGAAGGGAATATTGTAGGATGTTTTGGTATATGTAGTTGTCTTTTGGTCGTTGATTTAGTTGTCTTTTGGTGTTTATGTACTACTTTTGGAAACTGCAAAGACCCATGTTGGTTGTAGATCCCAACATTTAGCAGCTTATTTTGGAAACTACAAGACCCATGTATATGGGCAGTTTTGTAATTGTTACTTAAACTAACAAAAACTTCATTAGTGGATCAAGTATTTGTTTTTTTTTATGTGTGGATCACTATCTTTTTGTCAACTGTGGACCATATTGGTCATTAAAGTATACACGTATAGTCTATTGTGGAAACTACTTCTATCAAACGCATTGTCTATTTTAGTCATTCAGGTATATACACATAGAACCATATTGGTCATTATCAACCATGCAACATATAACTTGACATATTTCAAAAAATAGCAATCAACTTTCATATTTTGTAATTGTGCATAAACTGCATGAAATACTTCCATTAAATACCAAAAATGCCCATGGTGATGGGCATTTTTATAATTGTATGTTACTGCATAGATTGTACTAGTTGAAAACATAACAACTTCATATCATCAAAATATCACAACATAACACAAATAAAAGCATAAAACATATTACTACTAATCTATAGAAAGTGCTTTCTCCTTTGAATTTCCTGGAGCATTATCATCCCCAACTCTCTTGCCCAATTTCACCTTTATGATTCTTTATGATTTTCTTTTCCTTATCCCCTTCAATATTTCAGAAATTGGTTTTACACGGATCCTCCTTTGCACTTGAACTTGTGTACTACCACAAGCTTCACCAATTTGACCATTAACACCACCATCTTGAGTTGGAGTAACTTGCACATCAATTGGAGTGAGTTGCACCTCCTCATGTTCCTGCCCTCCTGAGCCACCTTCATTAACCTACAAGTAATGTTTCATTAGTATTTTGTTATAGTGCATATTAAACTCCAATTAAAATTAAAGATAATACTTGTCCTCTTGCTTCATTGACACTTACTCCATTATTTCCATTATTGCCACCTTCACTAACCTTTTGTTTTTTTTCTTCCTTGTGTTAACATCATCAGGTCCTTTTATAGGGAAATTGGCCTTGTTATGACTGGGCTCCTTGCAGATGCTACACTTGATTTTCTTTTCAGCCTTAGATACCTTATGGCTAGTAAGTCTTTCAACAGCACCCCTCTTCCTTTTAGTGACTAGCTTACCAGACATTCTTCTATTAATTGGTGGCAAAGGTGGGATATATTTTGCTTGTGGCCACATGTCACTCCCATTCATGGCTGCAATTCTATATTTGTAACTTTTCATGTATTTGGTGGTACTAAACATCACATCCACTGATCCACATATGCTTCCACATCCCTATTTAGGTATGAGATACATGCTGTAGAATGCACACATTGGTACCCATTCAATTGCCACAACCTACAAGAACATGTCCTTTTGTCAAGGTCAACCTCAAATGCCTCACATGTTCCCCTTACTTTAAATTGGTTTAAGCCACTTGCTAACACCTCAAAATGTCTTATGTGCTTTTTAAGCTCATTTACCTTATCCCTTATTTCTGGACAAATCTGATTACCCCATGGTTGTCCTCTCACCTTCATATTGTATAATCTCCCCCATCATGTACAATCTCAACTCTTCTAACATTGTTATAATTGGCTTCTTTCTGGCATATACAATTACAAAATTAAAGCTCTCATACATGCCATTCTCAACTGAGTCACAACATCTACCTGCTTGGTAGTATGCCCTAGACTAAGTGTTTGGATCCTTGTCCATTAGGTACTTATGTGCCTCTGGGTTTAAAATTTCCAATTCTTTCATTGTAGCTTTAAATGGATTCTCAGTTGATGCTTTTGATGCTCTCCAAAACAATGTCTCCTAGTGTCCCCACTATATCTCTTAAGTAAATTCTGACAAATGTGTCTAGCACATTGTCTGTGCTCTACAAAAGGCATCATCTCCTTCACAGCCTCAATTAACCCCTATAAAAAGGAAATTATTTTTCATGATGTTATAATATGAAATATAATGAATTAAAGGATTAAATAATAAAAACACATACCTTATGTTAATCTAACATTGAAGAGTATCCATTTCCAAAGTTTAAATGAAAATCATCAATAAGAAGATCTAAAAACCACTTCCAAATCTCCTTATTCTCAATAGACACCACTACCCATGCAATATGAAAGATTTTATCATTTGCATCCCTACCTATAACACAAAGCAACTCCCCCTTACAAATCCCTTTCACGAAACACCCATCAAGTCCAATTCTCTTTATACATCCTTCCATCCAACCTTTTTTCACACCATCAAAACACACATAAAACTTGTTGAAATAGTTCTTCCCATCAGGCATATAATCCATCTCAATTTTAACAGTGGAATCTGGATTTGTTCTCAGAATATATTGGCTATATGACCAGAGTTTTGCATAGTGATCCTTAAGATTACCCTCTACTAGTTCTATTGCATATCTTTTTGCTCTTTTGCATTTCCCTATGCTGACATTCACACCAAACTTTTTGATCACTACTAGTCTAAGTTTCCTCACACTCATTTTCTGCCTATGTAGAATTTGTCTGGTATAGTGGCTCCCAATCCATGAATATGTAACCAATGAACCTAACTTAAAATTCCTAGAACACTTATGCTCATCCTTCAATGACTTGATCTGGAAACTAGCTTCATCACTCGTCCAAGATGCCCATAGTCTAAATGTGCATGCACCTTTAGAACACCTAACAAGAAGTCTCTGTCTGTCATTCTTTTTCAAACCATAATTGGTACCCATTAGCCACTCCATAATTTTACAACATGCTTTTCAACTGTTTTGGATCCTTAAATTTCATTCCAAGTATAGGCTTTTGTTTTTTCCACTGTAAACTCTCATTCAAAATGGAATGCATCTGTAGGGAATCATGCATTTCCATCCGATTATCATCATCTACAAAGTCATTTTCCTCATCATCTAAACCCCCTTCAACACATAATTGACTCAAGAAAGGATCATGGGTTGTCCAGTTAATAGGGATAGCATCTTAATCATTTTCAACCTCCACATCCCTAATATTATCTCCATTTCCACACCATCAACATAAGAGTCGTTATCATCACCTTCATTTTGTTCTTCATCAAACCACCCCCCAGTCCACCCCCATCATGGTCAACATAGACATAAATTATGCCATCTATGCCATATACATCATAAATAAAAGCAACATGATCTACATCATCTAAAATTGGTCGAATGTCATCACATAAAGCGTTTTCTGGTTCACAGGAGTAAAGTTTTTTAATCTCCTCATGCATGAAACGTTACAGGAAAGTGATACACTCATAATAAGTCATAGAAGAAAAATCAACATTATTGAAGGAGCTTTTCACTCCCCCAAGTAAGACAAAGGATTACGAGTAAATACACCTTGGTAATTAAGCTCCACCATCGCAAACAGTCCAACATCAGGATTAGGTTGTGCCATTTATGTTACTAGCTTCATTTAAAACTCAATCGACAGCACTGATACCTCGATCGGAAGCAACTGTGAAAACCCTAACTGTTGACTTGCCGTTTACTTCCTGCATAGTAAATTGAGGTCAAGGGGAAGGAGACGAGTGAAGTGAGGATCTGTGTTAATATGTTTCATTAAAATAACATGGACCAAATATACACATCATTAACAATTTCAATTTAAAATAAATGACAGCTAGGATGTGAAACCGAGAAACCTTCAAAAATCGGTCACAATGGTGTAATTGACATCTACAATAAAATATTAATGGTTAATTGTGCAAAAAAATAACATAGTTGGTCAAATCGGACAAAACACAAAAGTTACTTGTGCTACAGTAGCATTTTCCCAAAATTGATCAAGTATAATTCAACCAAATTGTATGAGAGGTTGTGGTGTTAGTGCAATGTAAGTGTAAAATAATGATCAAAGTGAAACAAGTGAGTTACAAAGAAAGCCCTTGATCATTTATAGGATCTTCGGTATAAAACCTTGGGAAGTGATAATGATCACCTGCCTTGATGTGTTTTATTGATTTAAAACTAAAATTACAAATATGTTGAAGGTGATACGAGTACAAGTGTAATGGTCTAGCTAATCGTGTGTCTAGTGTGTGATTTACAAGTGTTATTTATAGTCTAAGCTAATCAACAAGAAGTACGAGATTTCTGGGATCCTCCTTGAACAGTTATTTGCACGTTGTTTGACTTGGTATCCCCGGGTCTTGAGCTTAGTTGAAGTGACTTTCCATTGATAATGTATCTTGTGTTGACTATTTTTGCACATGTGAGTAAAATAAAGGAAAATATAGTCGTTATAAGTGTTATAAATATTAGTGGTAATAATTAGGATCCTGAGATATGTTTAAGGATCCTGAGGCTTCAGAAATATTTATGGATCCTGAATATGATTCAAGGATCATGCCCCTAACAATAGCCCCCAAGTTATACCTGCGAAATATAAACGTTAGTGTTTAGATATTTAAAGGTATAATTTTAAAGTAAAAAATGAAGTAAAAATTTCTAATGGATAGGGTAATTTAAATTTCAACGAATAGATTTCTAGCCGTTGGATAGGCCAAATCACCCTTCTACCTTCCCTTGATTCTTGTATAAATAGGGTATACAGCTTTTCAATCTCATCTTACTCTTAGCTTTACTTCTGGAAGTTCATCGAATATCGTCGAAGGTACTATCTACGCCTATTTTCTCCTTCATAGTTTTCTTTTTCTTCTAAAAATGGCCAAAAAAGGAGCTCGCTCTCGCACAAACATCATAGCTATACATGATGATGATTTTGTAGATCAAAAACTCCTTTCCTACTAGGAAATTTGTACATTTGATAATGATAGTATCGAAGCTTTG